TTGAATTTTGGAATTGAATTACGATGGAATAGCTCTAATCAAGCTAAATGGGCCTAATGTGACTCTTGAGGGCCCCATGATGTTTTATTAGGTCGACTTTCCTTTGCTGTGTGCTTAGGGTAAGCTATATGGACTTATTGACTTGGGCTTAAGGATACAAGCTTCATAGTCTATCCTTAAGTCGGCTTTCTTTTTTCTATGTGCATAAAGTAAGCTATATGGAAAATAATTTTGGGAACTACTGATGGTATACCAGAAAAGGGTTTAAACTATGATTTTCAAAAGTTAAACTCTTTTACGAATTTATGAGATTTACTGGACTATGATTTGTACCTATTGTGATTTTATGGAAATGTTGGGACACACTGAGCCTAGCTCACCTTTCGAAAATGATTTCCCCTTTCAGATACTGTTGGTTAGATACCTCGGTTCGAGCACTTGGAGGATCAACATATCTCTTGAAGTAAATCAGATTGTAATGTTTTTTTTATTTTGCAAGTTGACTTTATTTTAGTGACATGGACCTTATTTTAAAATATCAGATTTTATAATGATGACTCTTTTGCTATTACTATTCGGTTTATTGTGATTTTGAATTTGAAAACATGTTTTAAATTAAGTTATTACTTATTGGTATTATATTTACGAGTTGGATTTTGATAGTATAATTTGTTTATAATTTCATGTTATTTATAATGTGATTTTATATTGATGGAATAACGGTTTCGAAAATGTCTTTAATAATCATAATGTGATCCACTAGACTTAGTCGAAACGCATAGGCCGGGTCAAAGGGGTTACATTACCCCAATGTAACATGGGGGATTATTTGTTTGAGAATCTTGACCTGACTCCCGACCTGAATTTGAGTTGTTACCCCCTAAATGCTATATGATAATAAACTCATAACCAACCTTTATAAGTAAAGTTTTGAGATTAAGATATGCTACCCAAGTAAATTGGAGAACAAGGTATTTGGGTCAAACGTAAACAAGGTGTTATGCCCCAAAAGGTTTTACACTGATGTATTGAATTAGAGAATTTTTGGAATCATGTTTGTTCTAATTTTATGAGTTTGAAACCCAATAAGTGATGAGTTTGATACCTCAATGATTTGACATGTATGAGATTAAATTAAATGTTTGAATACTTGGTAAAAGTGTAAATTTCGAGGTGATATTGCTCGTATAAAAGAAATTGGTTACGTATGTATGTTGCATTAAAGTTAAGTAAATATTATTCTAATTAAGGATTGATATTTAAGGTATGTTTGGTTCTACGAGAAGAATTATGTTTAGATTCTGGAATTTTGACAAAGAAAATATCTATACATAATCAGCTGGTTAAGGTTTAGTAGAGGAATTGTAACCCTTTTAAAAGATACTTGGGAGAATGAAGAATTGATGAAAGCTTAGTTTCCACATTTCTTTAACTTGGGTAAATTTCGAGGATGAAATTTCTTTTAAGAAGGGGAAAGTTGTCACACCCTAATTTTAGTTGTCTTTAATTTGAAAGTATTTATCTTAATTTTAGGGACCGCTTAGTGAGGTTTGGTAAACTTAATGTTTACTTTTTAAATTTATAAAAGTTCAGGGACCCAATTTTGCATTTTCCCCTTCTTTCCAGCCAAAGAAAAATAAAAATAAAATTAAAAAGTGGTTATAGTGTTTTGAACCCCTGACCAATAATACAGTGTGTCATACCTATACCATTAGGCTAGGCCACTATTCATTAACAAAACAATTAAACCCATCTTATATATCTGATTTGTATCAAACTTTGCAAAAAAAAAAAAAATGCTCGAACAACCTCTACCTATAAATGTTTAAACCCCCTTCACTTCCCCTCATATCGTTCAACTCCGATCTTAGTCACTGTTCAGCGGTGAGTGTCATCGCCCCCTCAATCGGAAATGCTACCTCATCCCAACCATAATCTCGATGGTCGTTTGTCTAAACTCATTGTCGTTCATCATGAATCGCCGATCGAAGGTTCATCAAAAAACCTTATCACAGCCACTGATTTTAGTATTTTCGGTCATATTTGACGTTCATTCAACTCACCGTCACCACCATTGGACTCCTCACATGAATCTGATCAGAACCTAGTCAGGTTTAATGCCTCACCGTTGCTTTTTTTTTATCGTCCGTAGTGGGTAGCTCTTTGAACTCTTTTTTCGACCGTTTAACATTATCTTGGTTGGACTTTCAAGTTGCTTTTGGTGTCTGTATATTGCTTGTATAATAATTGGCCATCCCAAATGACCTCTTTCGTAGTTGCACGTGCTGCCACGCACCGACAGTGCACTTGGGGCTCATCTGCCGGTCTAGGAGCTTCCTAGAATCAGTCCAGTCAAACTAAACGGTTCAGTATGATCGAACTAGCCCAGTCAGACCGAACCGATCAAGCTAAGTCAATTCACTGAGTCAACTCGGTTGAGTCAAATCGAACAGAGTCAACTCATTGACTTTGACTGACCATTGACTTTGACCAGCAAGTCAAATTTCCTGAAAAGTCATATTTTATTTTTTTGATTTCCTGAGCCCGAATCCGAAGTCCGTTTTGTCAAATTCGAACTCGATAAGATGTCTTTTTCGGTATTTTATCTCCCTATTCAATACAAATTTTCACGTTTAAGTTATGTTTATAATGTAATTGTTTTTTACATGTATCCGAGATATTATGGGATGTGGAATTAAAGTTCGAGGGTGATCAAATGGAGTTTAATTGGTTAATCGATGTGGCTCGTAAATCGAGATAATACTCTACTACATTTTGTGTGCTTTTCAGAACTTATTGATAATTGGTAAATGCATGAATGGAAATGAATGGTCGATTAGGTGTATTTAATTATCATTGGACTCAAACTATATATGGAATAAAGGCGGAACATTGTATACGACTCAAACGGCTCGCAAAAGAAATTGGTAGACCGGTCGAAAATAATTCTAGGTTCAAGGATTTGTTAGTAAATAAATTGACCTCATGATCCAAAATTCTTATTAATTTACTTAAAGGTTAAATGCTGAGAATATTTGGTTAAGAAGTTACAAAAATAGCACTATGGAGTAAAAATCTATTCCGTTGATCAGATGTAATTGAGGCAAAGCAGAAACCTGAGATTGTTTTTACAATAAGTTTTCTCATCTCAATTTATTTTAAATTTATTTATTTATTTTATCTTTATCCTCAATTATTTTTAAACAATTAAAATTTCCTTTTTTTCTCTCATCCCTATCTTTATCTTCCCTTTTATCCAAATCCCTATCATTTTTCATCTTTATTCATATCTAAATTTGAAAAATCTACAACTTCAGAAACTCTGAAGTCTTTGTGGACCGACCATGTTTCTCTTTACTACTCTTTCTTTTTATTTATTTATTTTTGAGAAGAATGAATTATTTGAGAGACGGCTGTCATCCTCCCAATTAACATCAGACAAATCAAAGGGCAACAATATGTTGCAGCAGCCCTGAGATGGGGATCTGATTAGTTTGTTGCATATTATATGAAGCTGGCCTATCAGCAGAAATTGTTGTTATGTTTCTAGTTTGAATTTTGAACTGGAAGTGTATAATTTTGTTTGAATCGGAAAATCATCTTGTAATTTATTAAATACCTTTTATGAATTTGAACCAAGTAAATCGGTAAAGTGAAAAGGCCAGAGAGTGAAGGAGAGTTAGAGTTAGAGAGGAAGCTTATGTGAGATATTATCCGCTTTGATTTAAAAATTGTATGGATTCGTTGATCCTATGATTATTGTTCTTAAGATAAATTGCCTATTTAGTTCCTTATCTAATTTTATTTTTGTTTTAGTTATTCAACTTCCTTTTTTAAATCATATTAGTGTTTAATTTTTCTTTTGGTCATCCACCATTTGTGCATGACTTAAAGGAAATTGTGATGTGATATGATATAATAATAATTTTAGTCTTTAAAATTTATACATTTTATTAAATTGTTTATATTTTTAAAATAATTTAATAAATTCTTAATAATTAAAAATGATATTAATTTGATCTTCATTTTAGTTTGAAATACTTTAATAGTTTAATAAGTTTAATCATCTAACAAGATAAATTAAAGATTAAATTGGATTAAATAGTAGATTCAGGGTAAATTTTGTGAAACCTAAAATTGCCTTCTTCTAAAACATTGTACCATGTAACGAAATCTTAGTCCTTCGTCACTCATTCATTTCTTTTAAAAAAAACCTACCATTGATCGCTCATCTGCATTGATCATTTAGCACTACAAATATCGTTCATTACGAATTCTTTTGTCAATTGAGGACTATGCAACCTCGATGAATCGTGAACATCTTTTGAAACTCTATCACTTGTCTTGAAACCTTGGCTAATTTTCTTTCTTTGTCGATCTTTCAATACCGCAAACATTGTTCTTCACGAACCCCTTTGTCAATTGAGGATTATGTAACCTTAACGAATTCCAAACGTCTTTTAAAACTTTCTCCTTTATCCCAAAACCCTAATTGATCATCACTGGCTCACTTTTCCCAAACATCCATAGTTGATCGTTCCTTTCATCGTCATTCAACAATCAAAAGCCGTCCATGACATATTTTATCGTTGTTGTTAAATTATAAAATTATTTTAAATTAAAATGAAGAATAAATTGATATAATTTTAAAATATTGAGTATTTATTGAATTATTTGAATTAAGATTAAGTTAATCTATCATGATACATCTCATTTTCTTTAAGTCAATAATTAAATCTAACATGGATGAGTGATAGACTAAAACATATGTAAAATGGGAATATTATATATGATTTAAAAAAATAATTAGATGACTAAAATAATACATGAATGAGAGAGTATTCTATATAGTATATTGTGGATAACGAGGATATGAGTTCGAGATATTTGAAATCCTTTGCAGCCTTGTCATTGGCTCATTACTCTCCACCACATTTCTCCTGCTTGTTTCTTGCCCATCCATTCCTTCTTTCATTCTCCTCCTTCCACACGTATAATAAACTTTACTTTCTCCCTTCTCCAGCCTCTAAATGATTATTTACTCAAAACTTCACAAAACAATGGCTTCAATGCTTAGCTCTGGAACTGTTCTTAGCCCCACCCCATTTCTCGGCCAAATCAAAAATGCCAACCCTCTTAGAGATGTACTTCCTACAGGCACTGCCAAATATACGATGGTATGTTGGGTTCTCTTTGTTCCTTCTTACAATTTGTTATTTTTCCTCTATGTGATATTGGGGTTTAATGTGCAGGGAAATGAACTGTGGTATGGGCCAGACAGAGTGAAGTATTTGGGACCCTTTTCTGCGCAGACTCCTTCTTATTTGACTGGCGAGTTCCCCGGTGACTACGGTTGGGACACTGCTGGTTTGTCTGCTGAGCCTGAGGCCTTTGCCCGCAACAGGGCTCTCGAGGTTACCTATAACTAGGGTCATTAAATCTAATATCTAATTAATCAAACTAAATTTCGATTTAATGAATTATTTCAGTTAAAATGGAAAAGTGAATGCCCCTGCTTTTAGTTCACCTCCTAAATTTTATGTTTCTAACCAAAACCAAAAAAAACATGTAGGTAATCCATGGGAGATGGGCAATGTTAGGAGCACTAGGCTGCATCACGCCAGAAGTCCTTGAGAAATGGGTGAGGGTGGATTTCAAGGAACCAGTGTGGTTCAAGGCAGGAGCTCAAATCTTCTCGGAAGGTGGGTTGGACTACTTAGGCAACCCCAACCTGGTCCATGCTCAAAGCATTCTCGCGGTCCTCGGATTCCAGGTCGTCTTGATGGGACTCGTCGAAGGGTTTCGCATCAACGGCCTCCCCGGTGTTGGAGAAGGCAACAATCTCTACCCCGGTGGCAAATACTTCGACCCTCTCGGCCTGGCCGATGACCCCGTCACGTTCGCCGAACTTAAGGTGAAAGAAATCAAGAATGGAAGGTTGGCAATGTTCTCCATGTTTGGTTTCTTTGTTCAAGCCATTGTTACTGGGAAAGGTCCCTTGGAGAATCTCTTGGACCACCTGGACAACCCTGTTGCAAACAATGCCTGGGTCTATGCTACCAAGTTTGTGCCCGGATCCTAAATTAAGACATGTGCATGCATGTATGTATGTATCTATGTAATTGTAGATTTTGAACAACTTTGACTATTTAAACTCTGTTTCATTGAGAATGAAAATGTAGTTCCTGATTCAGTGCTGTGCATATGAATTACTGCAGTGGAAAGAGAAAAAACAACGGTAAGGATAAGAAAACTGTAAACAAGGGAAAGCCAAATTTGCTTTTTATTATTCATCTGAGGTAAGTAAGGTAATTGAAAGAGTAAGTTGCCGACTGATTACTTGAGTCTTCCATTAGGGGCGAAACGCAATGCTCGAGTGCTTTGGCAGCCGGTATTTGAAAGAATAGAAAAGAGACTCGTAGGGTGGAAGTCACTTTCTTTATCTTTTGGGAGTAGAATTTCTTTGATTAAGTCGGTTCTGACCAACCTCCCAGTCTACTTCCTATCGTTATTTAAAATGTTGGGTTCGGTATATAATAAATTGAACATCATATTCTCGAGATTTCTTTGGGTGGATCGCAGGACAAGAAGGAGATCCATTGGATTGGTTAGAACGATATTTGCAAGGCGATCGACTGTGGAGGTCTAGGCGTCCTCGACTTAAAGATCAAAAATAGGGGCTTGCTTGGGAAGTGGTGTTGGCGCTTTGGTTTGGAAGTTTCATCCCCATGAAAATAAATTGTAGATGCCAAATACAAATTCGACCCGGATGATATCCTCCCCCTAGCACGAAAGCTCAACGAGTGTCGTTGCTTTGGGGGGATATTTTAAATAATTTCAGTAGGGAGGAGAGAGAGTTGAAATTTAAAGACAATCTCAAAATTCAAGTCTGTGATCGTAAAAGAGTGAAATTTTGGCAGGACATTTGGATTGGCAACAGACCGCTTATGTATGCTTTCACAAGAATGTTTGCACTAGCTTTGAATAAAGAAGGGAGAGTGTCGGACTTTGGTACCAAATCCGAGTCAGGTTGGAGTTGGAACATCCTGCTAAGGAGAAACGTTTTTTACTAGGAAAGAGATCAATGCGAAGCTCTGTTCCTTTTTCTGTATGAATTTGAGAGTTCGTCTTCAAATTCGGATTGACTAAAATGGTTTGGGTCTAATGATGGCAGTACTCAGCGAGATGGGCAGTACTCAGCGAGATGGGCAGTACTCAGCGAGATGAGCAGTACTCAGCGAAATCTGCAGCGTAATTGCAATGTACCAAGGACCTTTTGGAGTTCGATTGGAGGACAACTTGGCAGGGGATTGCACCATATAAGGTCGAGGCGTTTGTTTGGCGAGTTCTTCATCGGCGAGTCCCGGTCAGATTAGAACTTGCGAAACGTGGAGTAGTGCCATTAGCGGATAGCTGCTGTCCTTTTTGTATGGAGTGTCAGGAATCGGTAAGTCATCTATTCTTCTCTTGCATCGCTGCTTGGAAAGTCTGGGGAGCTTTCCTTGAGCTTTGGGATGTCTCAACTTCTTTGCCAAATGACCCAAAAATATTCCTGCTGGTTTGGAGAGAGCTCCTCTGTGTAAGACTTAATCACAGGATCGTATGGGGGCACTCTTCCCATAGCGGTTATTTGGACCATATGATTACATAGAAATGAATTGGTGTTCAAAGGGAAGAAGTTGGACGTGCGACAGATGGTGTTTTCTGTTAAGGTTCAGGTGACTTGTTGGTTAAATGCAAAATTCTCGGATGCCCGATTAAGAGGACTTGTTCGCGAACTTATCACTTGCGGACGACGCCTTACTTTTGAAGAAGCCGGAGCTGCTCCATCACTCATGGTCCCAGCCCGCTGTGGGTGGAGCAATGAACTCGGATGGCTGTGTTGGAGGAATTGGAGGAGCCCTTCTTGAAAAGTCGAGTGAGCTGTTACTGTCCTTCTCGATTCCAATAGGGAGTGGTTCTTCGTTGCAAGCTAAAGCTATGGCGATCGAATATGCATTAAAAATGTTTATGATCTCTGAGTGGTTCACCACTCATGGAATGAAATGTATCTACCGTCCCATCGGATTGGTCTTCTATGCTACTCCCTATTGCATCTCGTTTGTTGCAGGCTAACGCAGTTCTTAAATTCTTCCCTAGAAGGTGCAACTCTCTGACTGCTTGGTTAGCAAAATAGGCGATTGGATACTAGTGTTTCACAGGAGTGGAGGTTTCATGGGTGCTGGCTTCTCTGTTTTTCCTTAGGGAAGGGAAATGCGGTGTTGTTGATGGATTAGGGGTAAAGTGCCCAAGTGTTTTAACATGAGCCTCGAGGGTTGGAGTTAGAAGATGGATAACACTTTATTCTAGCCTATATTCTCTTTATTCTAGTGGCAGATGTAGATCCTTGACATGTGTCATATTACTGTCAAATAATTCATTCTTCTCAAAAATAAATAAATAAAGAAAAGAGAAGTAAGGTCAGTCTACAGGGACTTTAAAGTTTCTGTGCTTGTAGACTTTTTGATTTAGATCTGGATACGGATGAGAAAAGATAGAGATTTAGATAAAGATAAGAAAATATAGAGATGAGAGAGAAAAAAAGAGGTTTTAAATTGATTAAAAAATAATAATAATTTGAGATAAAGATAAGATAAATAAATTGAGATAAGGAAAACTTATGGTGAAAACAGCCTCAAGCTTCAGCTTTTGCCTCAATTCAAATTGATCATTAAAATAGATTTTCACTATCGGTTACAGTCTACATGGCCTAACCCCTGTAACTTGTTTCTCACTCTTGTAAACCGAAAATCCAAAAGCTATCTTTGAATTCCAATCCTTATGTGGACTAACTACAACTATCGTCGTCAGCACCAACTCGAATTATGTTGTCTCAATGAGAATCGAGTCCAATCTCAATTTCCCTTAGCGGATCGCCGTTAAGTGTGTTCACAAGAAGTCAAACTTGCTACCATTCGATTCTTCCTCCCAACTTTAAACCAGAAAACATCCAAACCAACGTCGACTATTTGATTTAAAAACGTTTTGATTTTAAAGGATATGTCGATTACTTATCCTATTTCTCCAGAAAATTGAGAAAATAAACTGAAGGTATTTTAAGTGTTTTTCAATCCTCACAATAGGAATTGAGTCATAGCTTTAGCTCTTGTCTTATGGAGAATTTAGCTAAGTATGACAATCATACTTAGCATCTTTAAAAATAAAATAAAAAAATAAAAACAAAGAAAACTTTGAAAAAAAAAACTTTTATAAAACCTCAGAGTAAAGAAGAAAATTAATTCTGAATGTGTTTTTAGGCTTACCCTGAGAGGGTATTTATAGTATTCAACAATCCTAAAAACCAAGGAAAAAATAATTCTTAAAAATAAGAGATAATTCCTAAAGATAATTCTTAAAATATTTAAACTAAAATCCTAAAAACATGAGATTAACTCGAATTCAAATTTCAAAAATGCGAAAGAACAATTCGTCCTTCTAGAAACGCTGACTAAACCTTCTGGAAGGTGCTGACTCAACGCCAAGTCAAATGTGTCATGCCCAGAGTCATACCCACTAATCAAGCCTTGATTCTGAAAATAAAAAAAAACTGCAGAATTATGTCCTTTTAGTGTAATTTCCAAAATCTAGTGTTGTAACCCCTAGACCTGACATATGCGTTACGAACATATCAAGCAGATTACAATAAAATTTTTCAAAACATTTTTTTCAATAATTTAAAACCATATTACGAGTAAACATCTTTAAAAATAAATTTGAAAATATTAAAATTCAATTCTAGTAACTAAAAGTCGTGAAAACTAAGTAAAATAAAATATTTCAAAAATCAGTATCGAAAGCAACATACATCGTGAAACCAGCATTTTCAAAATATAGGCACATGCCACCCAAAATGAAGGCAAATCGGAAGATAACAACATTACTTCAAAAAGTACTATATGAATGTGTCGATCCTCCAAGTGTCAGGTGCTGGTCGCCTATCCAAAATATCTGAAAGAGAAACGTTTGGGGAGTGAGCTAGGGAGTTCAGCATGTTCCAACAGTACAGAAATAAAACATACAATTAAGTTTTTAAAATCAGTTAAGATTAATGTTATTAAAACATTAGTAGAGTTTTTAGTTTAAAATTTCAGAATCCCCCTCCAACCAGACGTCATATACAGTTCCCCATAACTATATAACCTAAGGGAGCACCTTGGGTCCATAAGGTCTTACCCTAGCCGAAGTGTAGTGATAACTCCCTAAAAATGCTACTTTTAAGGCCTTTTTCACTTAATTTATTATTTTTTTAAAAGTTCATTTCGGTCATTTTAGGATCATGTAGTTGCATATAGTTGCATTAGTGGTGGTGGTGCTATTTTATCTTGTAAAGGTGTTATATAAGGGAAATATGTGGTTGTTTATGTTGTGCAGGAAATAACAAGCAAAATGTTGAACTAGGAAGGAATGTCGTGACATCACACGTTGCTGAAGCAGATTGAAATGTCTTGGCATTTCTGGAGCAGAAAAGGACAAACATATATTTTTTATAAAAGGACAACTGGCAAGACACATGTCTGATGGTTATAACCGCCTGCTGGGGACCACTGCCACATGGTAGAATAAGTCTCACGCCCAAGGAGTGACTCTAGGGGTATGATGGGTAATTAGAATGTTAAAGCCCATTAATACCCTTTGATATTTTTTATTATTTAATACACCTCATATGAGAGAGAAAGGGGATGAGGCATTGACCATATTCAACTAGATTTTCTTCACCTTCTCCACCTTATCCTTCATTCCATTCTCTTAGTAGTGTTCCTCCATTAACGAGCTCCAAGGAGTTGTGAGCTAGGCGTCTGAGAGGAGCTAGCAAGCTAAGATGAGTCATGGTGGTTGAGGAGAGCTCCAGCAACGCGCATCGAAGGTTTCTTCCCCCTTCCCCTTTGCTGTTATTTTTCAGTTGATATTGGGTTGTTGGAACGAATGAATTTCATGTTTTATTTTATGGATGATTTGAACCCCACCATAAACTAACCTTATTTGGTGGGGTTAATTTTATGGATGCTTGATATTATTTTAATGGTAGATTTAAATTTATCTTTTGCATTTACTTGTTTTGCTTATGAATACTTCATCTTTTAAGTTTGTAGGAGGCATGAGAGTGTCTATTACTTAGATGAAGGCTAGGTGTTCGAGAGAAACTTACTCATTAAT